ATGCTAATTAAGTTCATACAAGTTTACTTTTCTGTTAGTGCATATACCATGGCTGACAACTGTAGAGTCCTCATCCTCAATTAGCCCCCTTAAGTGCATGAGTTTGACTTGAGTTTCAATTGTTGGTTTTCAACGTCTCATTATGTTTGTGGAGTCATAGATCATGCTCTACTGGACTAGAGAGGTGGATCAGTTGATTTACACTGTGTGAAAGTTGGTCACAAATTTTCCAACACAAGACAAAACCCAAAACTTCGGATCCGAGGCCTCACAATTTGTATTTCGTACAATTTTACACAAGTTAACATCTAGTATAAATCAATATAACCACTGAGTTTAGCTCAGTGGCCACCAGGGAGGGATTACCTTGTGCTGTAGGTGAGGTTTGGTGAGCATTCAAATCTCACCTGTAGCAAAAAAAATCTAAGGGTTGTGTCATAGCACTCCCTTGATCTAGTTGACTCTGTCTACCCACTAGTTTCTAACACAAGCCTCCTGAGGCTCCTCCTCCCCCTAGATTAGAATAGAGTAGGTTATACGCTGTATCGTTGTTAGGAAAAAAATAGTATAAATCAATATGATTTCGGTATAAATTAAGTCCGATTTGATGTAAATTAGGTGTAATTCAGTGTAAGTTGATTTGTTATTATTTGGTGTAAATCAAGTACAGTTTGGTATAAGTTGATTATTATCATTTAGTGAAAACTGAAAGTAATTTGGTATGAATTGAGAGTAAATTGTTAATCTACACCAACTTGTGCGAAATGGAACTTGTGAGGCCCCATTTCCGAAAAGTTCATATTTGCCATGGTCAACTAAAAATTGGTTGGCATCTCCACCAATTAATCATAGAACTTAGAAGAAAATATTAATGATTCCAAGCCAAATTTTAAGTGCTATAGAACTGGATTAGAATTGGATCAGTTGATTTACAGTGTGTGCAAGTTGGTCACATATTTTCCAACACAAGATAAGACCACTCACTTCATATTTGCCATGGTCAACTAAAAATTGATTGGCAGCCCCACTACTTAATTATGGAGCTTTAAAAAATATTATTGATTGCAAACCAAATTTTAAGTGCTACACAATAGTCTTTAGTGATTGTAGAATAGATGCAAACTAATAACATGATGTATACTCGGGCAGGCCTGTGATCCCCAGTGGACAGTTTGGCCCATGATTCTAGAAATTCAATATATATGTTGGTCAACTTCAAATTTTCCCTGGTCAAATCAAAATTTAATAGCATTTCCACTAACAAACTGAAATTTCCAAAAGAATATCATTGTTAAGCACTTATACACATATATGTATACACATATATATATCCACACACATATATGTATGTATACATACATATATACATGTATACATATACATACATGTATGTGTGACACACACATATATATACATATATATGTGTGTGTGAATATATACATATGTATGTGTGTGTCTATATATATATATAGACATATATGTATCCACACACATATATGTATGTATACATACATATATACATGTATACATATACATACATGTATGTGTGACACACACATATATATACATATATATGTGTGTGTGAATATATACATATGTATGTGTGTGTCTATATATATATATTCACACACACATATATATGTATGTATGCATGCGTGTGTGACACCCATACATATATATGAGTGTATGTATATGTGTGTGAGTGTATCATTTGTGATATATAAGATAAAATTTAATTTTGTGTATTATGCAATGTGAGTTTACCACTTCCAAAAAATATTAGTGAGGGATCCTTTTCCAGCGCCAGACATGCTTGCACTTTCTCCGAGTCAATACGCCAATCTATGAAATTATGACGCCAAAACTTGGTCTGGTAGGCGGGCATACTTATAGGCCCTACAATCACGCCAAATTTTTTCCAGCTGTTGTGAGAAACAAGAACATCTCCAAGGGAAAATGTGATATAAGCTTGTTTTTTTTTTTTTTCCAAAACTTGTTTTAGTTTGAAAAACCAAAATATAATACAACAGTACTTCTCAATTATTTATTGGTGTGGTTTTTCTATCCTCATTTTTGTCAGTTATCTCTCCATGGATATACATGCTGCTTACGTCTAGATTAACCAAACGGATTGTTCACATCGTTCCTTTGACTTGCATTCCAACATGATGTTTAAAAGGAAGCATGGTGCATCAATGTTAGCAAATTATCCCGAAGTTGCCATTGTGCACCCATCTGGTCTAAAGGTAGGTTCTCTCTATCTCCACTGTCAATGTGTTTGAATTGAATCTTCGTCGTTAGCGTAGGAATAGATTAGTATCGTTGCCTCTTGGGGAAAAATAGAAAAAAAAATAGTTTAAATAAACAAAGTAAGCATGATAAACTTAAAATTCAAGCCTCAAATAATTGATTTGAATATTTTAGGGTAAATTACATATAATCCCCTGAGATTTCATCTATTACCACATGATCCCCTTAACATTTTAAAATAGGACAAATTACATTTTATTCCCTGTGATATAGTTAATTTTCACATAACCCCCTATAGTTTTAAAAGCTATATATAACTCCCTCATAATTTGGATTAAAGTGTCAAAGTGACAAAAATGATTATCCATAGCTGAACTTATGAAAATATCGAAATTACCCTTGTTTAAAAACTAAAATAGTTGAAGTAATCAAAATATATAAATATAATATGCATGACACTCTAACCCCGTATGATTTTATATTTTATCATATGACATTCTTATGGTTTAGTATTTTACTATATAACTCCCTTATGATTTTCAATAGATATACCTAACCCTCCTGTGGTTAATAAATAATTTTCAACTTTACATAGGGGTATTTTTGATATTTTAGTTGACTTCATTATGGATTACAAATTTCGTCATTTTGACACTTTAATCCAAACAATGAGCGGGTCATGTATAACTTTTGAAATCATAAGGGGGTTATGTAAACAAATACTAAATCACAGGAGGGTAAAGTGTAATTTGCCCTTCAAAATATCCACTTTACCCCTCTATAGTTTTATATAAAGTGGAAACTTGGCGGAAAATAATCTATGTAACGTCGTTAATTGAAATATTAATAGTGTCTTTACTTAAATGCTAAATCAATCAATGGCTTAACTACCTTGTATAAAATTATAAGGAGATTACGTGAACAAATGCAAAAATTACATAGAGATAAAGTAGATATTTATACAAAACATAAGTGGGTTACATGAATACTAAGGTTGTGTTTGGATTGCATTTTCCGTGATTTTTCATGGAAAAATTACTGTAGCGATTTGATGTATGTGAGGGAAAAAGGTAATAGGGAAATGTGATCACAGAAAACGACGTAATTTTTCGACGGAAACCGGCAATCCAAACAAGGCCTAAGATTTTGTCATATGCACTTTTAAAATACATTTGTTATAAACACTATAACTGATTGTACATTTCGTCCATTTTTCACTTTATATAAAATTATCGGGGGGCTATGTAGTTATTTTAAAATCTTAGAGGGAATCATCTGATATTATCTAAAATCACAGAGGGTAACAAGTAGTTTACCCAATTTTTTATGGTCGAGAGGTCAGAATTTCTACAATGAGGAGTTGAATAATCGACTGAAAATTCCTATAGTTGGGTGATCAAAATTTTTACATTTAAAGTGGCTTAGTATCACTTTAGACACTTTTTACTCGGTGGTTTAACACTCAGTCAGATTGAGACAGGATAAGACATCTCCCAATCTTTTTTCAAAACACAAGAAGCTACTAATCTCATATTCTAATAATAATAAAATATATGATTGCAACTATTAAGATTTGATGAAAGGGTCTTAGGTCTTCTCCTAATACTTTTAGCCTTAATAAACAACATTACAAATGTAATCCTGCATGTGGACCGAATCATTACCCGTTCTACATCAATCCAAATCGATCTGCACATCAGAATCAGCTCCAGTTTCCTCTTTTCCCAAATCGGGTAGGGTCGTTGTCCAGTTTTTTGGCTTTCCCGGTTTACTTTTAATCCCCCTAACTTGCTTTTACATCTGCATTTTCAATATGTTAGTCTGCCAAAAAATGCAAAATTTAGAATCTACTAAAATGTAACTTTAGCTGATTCTAATTGTTCACCATAATCACTTTTAAAAATCTAAACCACATGAGAACAAACCCTACATACTAGACGATCCTAGTGAATTACGGTTAAAGTTAGAACATGGTTCTTCAGCCATAGCCCCAGAATTCAAATTAGAAAAGACAGAAATAGAAATTATCATGGACATTGATTTCCTAGTTTGACAACTAAAATCACATCAATGACGTACTTAAGCCAAAGACAATATAGGGCAAATTACATTTTACCCCCCCGGTGGTTTAGCCTTTTTTTTACATAACCCTCCTATGAATTCAAAAGCTATACATAATTCCCTCGTGATTTGGATTAAAGTATCAAAGTGATGGAAATAGTCACTCGTAACGAAACTTCTAAAAATGTCGAAATTGCCCTTATAAATACATGACACATTAATCCCGTATGATTTTTATATTTTACCATATAACCCTCTTATGGTTTAATACTGTACCATATAACCCCCTTATGATTTTCAAAATATACACATAACCCCCCTTGGTTAATAAATAATTTTCAACTTTACATAAGGGTAATTTTGATATTTTAGGTGACTCCATTATGAATGATCATTCCGTCACTTTGACATTTTAATCCAAACCATAAGTGAGTTATGTATGGCTTTTGAAACCATAGGGGGGTTATGTAAAAAAATGCTAAACCACAGGGGGTAAAGTGAAATTTGCCCAAAAATATATATATAAATTTTTTTTTATTCCATGCTTTAGAGATAAACTGTCTTTAGTTTAATAAATTATATCCTCATTACAATAAGAAAGCATCTCAAGGAGCTTTCATTGCTATAGAACTTTTGTCCTCTTTGCTCAATTTTGTCATGAACTATTATTACATACTTAGCATGATAAATACAGGGAAAAAACTTTCAAATTATATTTATTCCAATACGTGTTTGACAGGTGAATTAATTGAAACTAATTCCATACTTAGACTGCTGATTTGGAAAAAAGAGGCCAAAATGTTTCTCGGTCTCCGCTCCAGACTTCTCGTTTTCATCAAACATGGCAAACAAATAAGTTTCTATACCTCTTCCAGGCCTTCTTGGAGTGCCTTGTCCACTATTAACATGGCTAATAACATTCTTATAGTAAGTGCCAGCATTTTCAGATGATGCAGCAGGAGGGTTCCCATCAGATGGCCAGCCAGTTTCTGATACAACAATCTCCACATTAGAACCACCTTCTTTTTCTAGAGCTGAATAATGAGCATCCAAAACTGCATCAAAAATGTTTTGATATCCAAACGAACCGTCTTGAACAACTGTTCCTTGTGAGGTGAATAATGCATAATCGAGTGAAATGTCGGCTTCATCACCAATATAGCTGAAGTAGGGGTACACATTGACCAGCAATGGTGCATTATTTTGGACTAGGAGATTAATTATAGGTGTCATGAATGGTCTAGCCTCGTTCGAGAATGAGCCTTGTGAGGGAGGATAAGAAATCCCTAGCAGACCTGCAGATATTGATGTTGAAACCTTGATTTGGTCCTGAAGACCTGCTGATGCTAATGCATTTTGTATATTTCCCATGGCTGGACCAACATATTGTTGAGCAATGCTAGAACTTAATGATACTTCATTTCCAACTGCTATATATCTGAATTTCACATCTGGTGAGTAACTTTGTATGTTGTTCTGAACCCAATTTGCAGCTGCTGAAGGATCGGTTGCAAGGGCCTGAATGTCTTCATTGGCAACATCGATTAGAAGTTCTATATTAGTTCCTCTTAAAGCATTGAGAACTTCTGGGACAGGAGAGTAAATTCTCATTTTTTGGATGCCATTTTGATTGTAAAGATTTATAACATCCTGACTTGATGGTAGATTGTTGCCATTGAGCCCATAGCAGACGCCTATAGATTGTACCCCTGCATCAGAATTGATGGACAGCCGTTGAATTCACTTGGAAGTTCAAATAATAAGTATAGAATTGTGGGAGATTTGAATTGTGTTACATTCTTTTTTATTACTTTGCAAAACAAATAAAAATGGTTAAATAGAATTAAAAATGTTAGACTTGAAATATCATTTCACTACTTGAATGAACTGCAAAATCAGGTAGAGTTTAGCTCTTTCTACAACCTAATGGAGATGGCAATCCCACAGGGGAGGCAAAAGATTCTTCGTCTAATTACCACTTAAAGTTTTGGAAGGATCTTAATCTCTGAAGTTGCAGGTGTAGGCATGAGTGATTTTCTCACATCAAACATCATGCATTTGCAACTTTAAAGAATTAAACAAGATGCATTGCACTGTTTAAGATAATCTAACATTGAGATTAATTACATCTTCATTAGTTATGAAATGCATGAAGAAAATAATGCATAGTAAAGAAGAGTTTACTTGGGTAAAGTGGTCCAGTTGGTATGCTAAACATTTTCACTTACTAACTCGTGAGTTTATATACTTAAATACACCACCATGTTCAAAACCAAACGAGAGAGTGAGAGAGAGAGATTCATTGCTACCAAAATAAGATCATAACTAGTGATTTCCATGAACATTTGATGCATGGAAACAAGCAAGGAAATTGTAGACTGGTTGAGATATACCTGTGACTCTGAGACTCAGCAAAAAAACCCCAAGCAAAGTTAGAATACTAGTCATTGTATTTTTGTTGATAAATACGGCAGAATATAGAAAGGAAAATTAGAAGAAATTAGCACTCAAAAGATTTGCAAAGAAAGATATGAAAGAATGGAGTGGCCAGGGTTCTTCTTATAGGGAAAATTTTTCGATTTCAGACCGGTGGCAGTCATAATTAATTGAGTTTTGCCCGGTCAATACTTCACAGTCCAATAAATTGACAAATTCTAGCACAGTTTTTTCTCAGGACTGAAGTATCCAATAAAAAAAGGACTGAAGTATTCAAGCAGGCAAGTCTTTAGTGATTGTACAAGAGATGCAACTGATAATATCTTTGAATATCCAGTCAGGCTTGGGATCCCTAATGGACAAATTTAGGCAATGAATCTAGAAAATTCAAGATTTAAGATGGCTTAAGGACTCGTGCAATTAATAGTCAAAATTATCCTCTACAAAATACGTAATTGCACTAGTAACCCTCAAAAATATTTAAGAAATTGTGATTGTTTTGCGCTCGTTGTTTAAGTTAGTAAATTTGTCACATTGATTCGTAAATTATATTTGACAATTATAGATTCTTACACATTTAAATGCATTGTAATAGAATTCTTTGCTACCTTAAGGAAGCAAATTTGACTAGAGAATTGAATCAAGTGGTTTATACATCGTGCAAGACAAGGCCATCCACTTGCCATGGTCAACTAAAATCTCATTGCCAAATTATGCAACTTCAAAAAATGTGAAGGTTAAATGACTTCAACTGTCCCCCACTTTCACCCATACATGTATGTGGTCCCTCAACATTTAAAAGTTTGTATTATGTTCCTCAACTTATCAATTTTGTTCTAAATGGTCCTTCCAAACCAAATCCAAGTATACTCGCTGGGATTTGATTCATTTCTATTTTTTGCAGAATACTATCCTATTCATGTTGGATTAACATTTAATTTTGTACTTTTTTATTTATCAGAATATAAGTTAAGTGATAACTGAGTACTATAGCAACAACAATAAATGCAGTTGATAAGATTTTGTAAACTATTGAATAGTAATTCTTCATCTTTTTTTTTATTTATGTAAATTGGAAGATTAGTATTTTTTTTTAATATAAGTCAAATTAGTTAACTATTGAAAGATTAACCAAGACTATTAAAAGAGGCACATATGCCTTGTTTTAAACTTAAAGGACCCAAATAGACATCAAGTTTGACTTTAGGGGGCAAAGTGAAAATTACCATATTAAATTTGGCTACGAGGGACCATTTATAAGTTGAGAGACTTAATAGACAATTTTAAAGTTGAGGGATCATGGGTAAAAGTTGGGTAAAATAGGATCATGGGCAAAATTTGATGGAACGTTGAACTTATTTACCTAAATAAGAATAATAATACAACAGGAGTGATGTCTACAAAGAATAGACCTCATCCCATGCGAAATTTTTAATGCCACATAATAGTCCTCAAAGCCAAAATCCCCACCCCAAAAGTTTAAAAAAATTAAAAATATTACAAAAATAAACAATAAGGAAAGAAAGATAGGAAGAATAAAGAATATCATTTGCCCCTGACGTAACTCAAAAGTCTAATTTTATGATGGAGGAGCGGACAACTCGACTGATAAAAAATTTAAATCCATTTTTCTTATGATAGTATAAGAAAAATTAATCTTATAACCAATGGGATGTTTCTTTGTTCTCATCTTTCTTTGGAATCTTACACTGTTATACAAGACATTCTTCTACTTACAGAATAATAATTGCTTCAGGTGTGTACCTTTCTGGTATGCAGTAGGACTTAATTATCCAAATTGGTGACCATGCATTCCAAATTGGACATCTAATATGACCTGCAATCCGGGCTAAATTTTTCCACATGTTATGAGAAGCAAGAGACAATAACTTTGCCCAAGGAATACTTCATGGAAAAACTTGATTACAAAACCAAAGTAATAAACAATAGTACTTCTCAACTATATATCTATGAGTGTGCTAGTTGATGGTTTTTCAATCCTTAGCTCTTTTTCAATTGTCTTTTATATGGAAGTAAATTCTACCTAAATTCAGATTAATCTAACTAGATTGAGTACGTCCTTTGACTTCCACTCCCACATGGTGTTTATTAAGGTAGCATAATCTTCTGGATTAGCCAAAAAAATCCTCATGTAGTCATATTATATCATTTTCCTTAGCATAGGAGTATGTTAGTAAGGTTGCCTTTTGGGGATAAAAAATAAAAATGAAAAAAAAAAGAGCAAAACATATAGTTCAAATAAATGAAATAAGCATGATAAGTTTATAATGGAGTTGACTGATTGATTTGATTTTGTAGTTGAGCGATCAACGTTTCTACACTGCGAAGGAGATGAACAATTGACTTGAAATTCTTATAGTTGAAGTGATCAAAACTCCTATGTAGATGTAAAATATTTATAAATATTAAATATTATAAATGAAAAAAAGAACTGTTAAATATCACAACAACAAAAACTGCCTTTAATGGCATTTAAAAGTGTCAATATAAATAATCTAAATTGACACTTTATCTTTCCTCACACCTCGGACGAGTGTCGTCCCTTCCAATGTGGGGATATACTCATAGCATTCAAATGTATCAGGAAAATTATGCTGTTACAGTGTCCCATTTGCCAACAAAAACCTTTTTTCTTGACAATCGAAAGTGTCAGGATAGCTGTAGTACAGCATTAGGATATCGAATTCTATGAATGCATCTTGAGTTGTCTTAATATATGGCTTTTAAGGACACTTAGTCATGTCCTAAAACACTGCTTTGGACGACATGTCCATGTGTCATTAGATATTGCTTTAGAAGCTAAGCTATGCTGACACTTTTAACTGCCAGGAGTTTTTTTTTTTTTTTTTTTGATATAGAAGCAACCTGCAGGTAGTGCTCTCTACTATATATTCCGTCAATCAAAAACCCAAAGGACTTATAAAATTATCTCAAAGAACAAAATGCATGTAGTAATTTAAAAGCAAAAGTCAATGCTCAAATATAATTTGTTGAACTAAAAGTCAGTAACAAGTACTAACATAGCAAATCCCTTCCAATGTTTAAAGTAGTGTAGCAATGTTAAACAACGCCACTAGCTAAAATTAAAATAAAAGATTCTCCTAATGTAAATTGACACTTTATCTAAATTGACACTTTATCTAAATTGACACTTTATCTTTCCTCACACCTCGGACGAGTGTCGTCCCTTCCAATGTGGGGATATACTCATAGCATTCAAATGTATCAGGAAAATTATGCTGTTACAGTGTCCCATTTGCCAACAAAAACCTTTTTTCTTGACAATCGAAAGTGTCAGGATAGCTGTAGTACAGCATTAGGATATCGAATTCTATGAATGCATCTTGAGTTGTCTTAATATATGGCTTTTAAGGACACTTAGTCATGTCCTAAAACACTGCTTTGGACGACATGTCCATGTGTCATTAGATATTGCTTTAGAAGCTAAGCTATGCTGACACTTTTAACTGCCAGGAGTTTTTTTTTTTTTTTTTTTTGATATAGAAGCAACCTGCAGGTAGTGCTCTCTACTATATATTCCGTCAATCAAAAACCCAAAGGACTTATAAAATTATCTCAAAGAACAAAATGCATGTAGTAATTTAAAAGCAAAAGTCAATGCTCAAATATAATTTGTTGAACTAAAAGTCAGTAACAAGTACTAACATAGCAAATCCCTTCCAATGTTTAAAGTAGTGTAGCAATGTTAAACAACGCCACTAGCTAAAATTAAAATAAAAGATTCTCCTAATGTAAAAAGTTGAAAGAACTTGCAGTAGCTTCCAAACTTTCCAATGAAATGAGAGCCTTTAGTTATAACCACGAAGACCCATCAATCTTCAGTTGGTTTCACCTGTGCACAATGTAGTTTGGTATAAGAAATAGACCTAATCATAAATATTTTAGTTTGAGCAACAAGCAGAAATGAAGCTTCAAAAATAGAAATTCTCCCTCTGTTAACTATTAGAAAAAGAACTATTTGGACATTCCATACAAGGTGGGGATCATCAGATCATCATAGCTAGCAATAAAATTCCAAAAAAGTCACAAAGTAAATAAGTGCATATATTACCAAATGACAAGGCTAAGCAATCGGTTCACCAAGTGCATCTTGAATTGTTTGTTGCAAATCATATGGTCTAATCAATTGTTCACTTGGACTCGTTGTAACTTGTATCTGTATCTCACACTAGTTTGGTCCAAGAGCTTGTCCCCCAACCTCATCCAATGGATTCAAACTCCGTAAATATCCCTTTGCCACGTTTTTTCAGCATGAAGTTCTTTTTTCAGCACTACCCCAATAAAAAGAACAATCATTAGGACATGCATCGATCTTTTCATAACCCAACCCCAATGTATTCATCAATTTCTCAGCCTCATAGTAAGCAGAAGGCAAATTAGTCATGGCCTCTGGAAATGCTTCTCTCAACAGCTAGCTCAAGAAGCATATTAAAAATCTTGTTACTCAACTTACCAAGGCATTTTAGGTGAAGCAAAAGACAACTTCAAGAAATTTTTGTAACCATTATACAAATCCTGTTGAGAATCATCAATCAATTTGTAAAATTTTTCAGCCTCTAAAACAGGAATGTCCCCTACTCCATTCAATTCATTTGTTCCATGTGGTATCCCAAATACATCATGGACTAAGTCTTGCATGTCATTAGTTCCATTTGAAACTCCAATTGATGTATTTTCAGAATTAGATGTGGCTTCATTGTAGTTTGAAAGTTCTCTATGTGCTATCCAATTATTATAACTCTTGATAAATCCTATCACTTTCAAATGGTCATATGCTTCCATTTTAGTTACACAAACACCCATGCCGCAATCTTTGCAAGGACACAAAATCATTTCGTCACAACTTGATCTAGAAAATGCAAAACCTAGAAACACTTTAAGTTCTATCTCGTACTTTTCACTTATTCTTGGGAAATCCATCCAACTTTTATCCATACTTTTAATATAAAAGAAATGTCTCCAACAAGCTTTCAATAGCACGAAAATAACAACTACAAATTAGTTCTTAGAAAACTGGACAAATGACAACAACAACATTTTCCCATCAAATCATT